GAGTGACGTGTCATGTGGAACCTGAGCTTAGAAAAGACGTGCAGTTCCGGTTGACCCACACTTTGATAAAAGTAAAAGTCGTAGTAACATACTAATCTTATTTTCCTCCTTTCCTTGTTCTTTATTTGTCAAAACTTAAGCTAAAAGCGCCAGTAAAATTGTTTGGTTGTTAACATCAGAACTGACGTTTTACTGTTCTAAATAAGTAATCTGAGTTGATGTGAATTGAAATTCGGACGCGGGTTTTATCTCATTTAACTCTGACGTTTGTTATAGGAATAACCACAATCAAGTGTACTTATGATCTGTTCAGTTTGTGTAAATACAGTAAATGATTGCCAAGTCTTTTATAAATCAACTTGAACTCGTCTGAACGTTCACTTATTGTGTAACCTTCACTTCGCACAGTCATGATACTAACAAGTAATGAGAAATACCTTGGTAAAAGTTTCCTCATAACCTTGTGTATGAGAGATGTGGGAGAAGCTTAATTCACCTTAAGCTCACTCTTACAACATTACATGATTAATTTTGTCACATCCAACCAAAACATGAATATTTGAGTCGATTAAAAGAAGTTGTAAAAAGTGACGGAGCCAGGAGAGAAGTTAAAACTGGAGACTCCTCCGAACTTTAGCTGTTTTTATACAAATCAAACTAATAATCTGAACTCCGCCTTCATTTTTCAGCCATCGTGTCGCCGGCTGTCAGCCAGCCGCTCCAGTCTGAACAAATCACCGAGCGTTGCTGARCGGCGAGGACTGTGGAGCAGGACAGGTGAGGAGGACAAATCTCAGGTGCTGTAATCCCAGAGCGGCCCTGTAATCCATCAAAGTGACGGCTGCAGACCGACGAGCCTCAGTCAGGCAGACAGCCGCGGCTGATCGCTCATCAATCACCTCCTACCTGCTCCGCCGCCGACACATCTGCACGCGTTTCTGCTGAGTCAGCTTTTACTGCTTCTCAAAGTGAAGGCCGGAGCTCATGAGGCGACACTGCTTTTGTGTCTGTTGGCAAAATATCTCATGAACCCCTGGACCGATTTTAATAAAACTTTCACAAGTTGGTCGTTTGATGTTTGAATACAACTGATTAAAATTTGGGATCAATACAGTTTAAATTAAACATTGCAGTTAATCAAACATAAAAAACACAAAAAATGTTAAAAACTCAGTTGATTTTACAGGCATGAGCTAAAATTTTGTGCTGAGACTGATCTACAACACATATTTTAAGCACTATCCTCACATATAAATGTTTTCCAGGAATCTTAACACTAATTACTGGAGTCAGTTGTGTTTGTCTGTTAACAAAATATYACCTGAACTACTTGAGGGATTTTGATGAAACTTTTAGAATATAATGATTAGATGATGATTTATAGCTGATTGATTTTWAGAGTCAAGTCAATTTAAGATGGCACCCACAGCTGGTCGACTTTAAAAACACAAAAATAGCTCAATTTTACAGGTAATGAGCTAAAATCTAGTAGCCGAGGGTCGTTGATGAAACAATTCAAGTGCTGATTTGTTATTACTATAAAATGTTTGCTTGTGTTCTGCTCCGCCCATGCCCCGCCCACTCTCACCTGTTCCTGGTTGTCATCCAATCAGATGTCCTGTTCATTTATCCTGCCCTCAGTGGAGCATTTAGGATTGCTCCACGCCGCCTCAGGTCTCCTCCCTGCTATAAACCTGCCTCTCAGGCACATTTTTAYATAAATCAGTTGATTTTCTGAGCTCCTGGTGTCCGACCAGCAYGGATCCTGACGCTGATCCGTCACGGCGAGCAGCTGAACTTTAATCTGGAACTTTAATCGATACAGACACTTTTTCTCATTCTCGCAGCAGGAAAAGGTCGACTGGAAACTGGAGAAACTCCATCTGTGAGCGARCGACACGAGTCAGCAGATTGAACAGAGTCATAAATCAGAAGGTGACAAAAAGTCAGAAAACTCCACTTTTTGCTTTAAAGTTTCAGTTTCTTCACTTTAGGTGCTCATAATGTTTAATCTTTACTTTAACTAATGTCTCTGCAGGTAATCTTCAATGAGCTTTTGTTTCACTGCTTGAATAAAAACATTTTTTACATCACTTGTGGAAAAAAACAACATAGTTTCTATAAACTTTGCCATAAATGTATTTTATCAGAGCAGCTCTATCATCAGTTGGCAATGCACACCTGTAAAGCCCCTGTGCCAAATGATGGCTATGCCTTTTGGTGCCTGTAAAACTTATATTTTTTTGAAATATTAATGTTTAATAAATTATAATGACAGTCAATGGAGCCTTGTATTGGTCCAATACTGCCCCCTGCTGCCTCTACACAATATGGTACTGCACCATAGTTTCATAATATTTAAACTCAGTAGTTCAGTGATTACAATATTAATATGGTTGTATTTTGATGTTTTACTGTAATACTGTCTTTATGTTGTCCTATTGCTGTAATATATTGCACTTAAGTGTCAATAATTGCATTGGCAAGGTAAACTTTTTCTCTATTCATACAATCCAATCCCTGGGATTGTCCTCTGCCACATCTCCTATAGTCTCATGATGAGCACTGTGGGCTTTCATGCGGGAGATCAGGGTTCAAATTCAGCTACTGCAGCTTTAACAAAAATCYCTTCAAACTTCTTATTGTCACACAATTACCTTAATTTCAAACACCTGCTGATGTGACAGGCACAAGCTGGTATGGAAAACACATTTGAACTTGGTTAAAGTTCATTCTGAAAGTCCACTGCTGCTGCAATGACATGCTACGTGACAATGCACACTTGTTTTTTCATCGTAAAAACCCATGTCTAGTTGTTACTGTTATCTGAGGTTAATGATAAGTAAACTTCTCAAATAAATAAATTATTCTTATAACAATAAACCGCTGATAAAGTTAAAAACAAAGTATATTGCATTAATGTCCTTTGTTTTAAATCAATGAGACATCTGACCCGTTTAATCTTTTGTCCTGTTTGTTTGTCTGTGTTTTTTGAATAAAGTTGCATTTAGACAAAAAATAAATAATTGTACTAATAAAAATGAATAAATAAAGAATGCGTGACATACTCAATAAGTTTATTTTATAAACTTTTTTCAAAACATTGGAGCAAATATATCTCCAATAAGGTGAAGAACCGATCCATTTCTGCTGGTTTCAGGACCATGTTCTTGTTCTGACTTCATTTTTTGAGAGCTTTAATTTCCTCCAACAACCTCACAAATCAACAAAAGGTTTCACAAAACTCAAACTTGTTTTCAAATATTCTACCATCAGTGTAGAATAATCYAGTCCAAATTAGAAGAGTCTAAGTGTTTTAGTTTTTAAAACAGAGCCAGGTGGGAAACAGGAAACAAAGTTCAGCTTCAGGCGTCAGAAAGGAGTTTGGGGGAAAAACCTCAAATTTCCAATTGTACCAAGAGCCAAAGAAATCCACTTTCAAACTTTAAATGGARTATATCCATCTGATTATTTTAGGCATCAACAGTTTGGAATTGAAACAAAAAATTCTCATCATGCAAAATAAATATGCCCACAATTTAATTGGAGCATGATTTAACATCTACTTTGTTTATTCTGTATCATATATTTATTTTATTTTATTTCTCATTTTTATTTGCACCCATCCCTCTCTCTTATGTGCAAGTTTATTTTTGAAATATGCCTCATTGTTTGTAAATTGTACCATTTTTTGTTGTTCTCTGTTCTTCAATAAAAAAGGAGGGGGGGTCAGTTCTGCAGGGTGACACCACAGAGTCACTGAGGTGTTTTTATTTTTTTACACGAATCTCTTTGCTTCAAATCTGACAAACATTAATAAAAAGCCGTCATTCTTTACATTGATGATATAATTTAATCAGAGTTGTAAAGTAAGTAGAAATATTTTCTTACTGTACTTAAGTAGATTTTTTGTGTATCTGTACTTTACTTAATTATTTTTCAGCCTACTTTTTACTTCTACTCCTTGCATTAAAAAAAAACAAGTATAAAGTTGTTACTTACATACTTGTTTTAACAACTGTTACTCAACAGTGATGTGGTTATGTTTCTCTGTTTTTATTTCTTCTTTAACTAAATTGATCACTATAGTTTAGTTTACTACGTTTTACAATGAAATGTATTTGTACTTGAATCTTAGACAAATATCTTAAGTTTTATTTGGGTTTAAGTAGTTCTCCTCAGTATTTAAACTATAGTGAGTTATTCTAGGTTCTAGGTTCAAACTAGTCACCAGACTAAGGTCTCTACTTTGAAGAACATAGAATATATGAGTCATATTTTCAGTTGTTTTACACTTTTTAGTCAAGTATATCATCCCACATGTGTTAATTTGTAGTTTTGATACCTTCAGTGTGAATCTAC